CGATAAAAAAGTATGCCTCTTCGCCATTGAAAAGGCTAGACGCGCACTGTGTGGTATTGTTCGGTTTGTAAGTTCTACGGATTTGCATGTCGATCATCAAATACATCGCTATGGTGCTCAAACATCACAGCACCATGCGCGCATCCAATGTTGGGATGAGAAGAGGTTTAGTTTTGTTGCCGCGAGCAATTTCGGAAGAAAACTCGGTCGGCGAGTCACATGACCTATGCTGCCTCGGTTAATCGTTAGTCCAGAACCGTATACTCTGTACCTCCTTTCGTGTCACTCGGCGTTTGTATATACAATCTCTGGGGATACGTGATGAATATCCCGGTGTAGGATTCATATAGCCTCCCAGGATCCATTGAATCTTCCCTGAAACCCCAACATGAGTAATATATCTTGTGTATAGAACCCCCCTCAACCCTCCCAACCTCCTCCCCAGTACCCACTATATCACGTGCTAACATGGTATAAAAAACTCTTCCACCGGCCGCGCTTGTCCCTTTTCTCTTTTTTTCTTCACACTTTTACCCTACATTAGAGTAATCTAATGTAAACGATCGCATAATCAACCTACATACCTGGTACACCCACAGGATCTGGGTCATATTGGCGAACAAGATTGAAGTGGGCAATTTAAGGCTCCTCTACCGTGCTGGGTTCCCTTGGGGGCCTGTACGCGCGATGGTGGCCGGAGTCACCTGCTGTTCACACATTCTCTTTATCGACACCTGTAATATGTAATCTTGTGTAGAGCTAGTCTGCTGGACTGCGGGTGCCTGGATTGGGACCGGTTCTTGTTGAGTTCTGCTGTCACGCCCATGGCTAGACTTGAGGAATGTTCCTTGACAGGATATCCCTTGTAGGACTATGCTTCAATGTCCTGGTATTGCCTAGAGTGAACTCCCTGGGTATGGAATGGTTGATGTTGCATGACCAAGACTTTCACAGTCTTCATTCCTGTTGGAGCAATTCGTTGGGAGATGGGAGATGTGAATCTGCGGCGGTTGTCTCGTGTTGGTCACGTAGGTATGGCATGTTGGTTATTCCTGCATAGGCTGGTGAATCACATTGCTATGATGCTGCCATGCTAGACATTCAATAGCTGGTTGTCCACCTGGGCACTCGAGACAGCCTGCTCCCAAGCAAGTTGAAGTGAACCCATCTGTATATATTCTCTGCCAGCAGCAAGGGTTTCCCGATAGATGGATGCGGGACGATTGACGAGGTCTGGAAGTGAACAAGCAACCTCGCTACCTAATATATAATTAGGGCGAGGTAATAGAATAAGATGGTGTTCATGAGGAGATTTCGATGATATCGTAAGCTCTAATGTAGCATGGAGTATTAGTTGACCCATCTCATCGAGATAAATACGGCTAGGGGCAGTCTGTATATATTTCACCGCAACGCTATCCGTGTAGGGCGCACCAGAGCTCTACACCACTAGTAACGACGAGCTTTCTGTTGTGGAAACTAAGCTGAAGTCTCCACTTTGGCAACATGCTGTCGCCGAAGTCTTACATATCGCACTTATCCACCGCCGCTTTGGCTCGGATGAGAGAATAGTACCCCTAGAATAAGACATGATCATAGCTGCATAGAGATGCGAGTGTCCTCTTTGTAAAGAATGGTCGCAAGCTCGCTATAATCTTCGGATTTTGTGAGGAAAGCAAATATATCCGTATGAATTTGACTTTTCTCAATCCAGTATTTCCCGGAAACCACGCCTACGTTGTGGATGTAGATCTCGATGTTGTTATTTACCATGGATTGGAGGGCACCGCTGACTTTCTTTCGTCGGTTGTCTGGACATGAATCTGTGCACTTAGGTAAATGTTAACATCATGGACCCGAGTAATGATATGGGTTCATTCCTCTCTTCCCCTAGACATCACACAAACCTACTGAGCCAAATAAATGCCTCTAAAGCATTTATAAAATATACGGGAGGCGAGGTGGTTTTTTGATGTCCAGCCGCTATGCCGCATGTATCGAGATGTTTTGTACACTGCAGATGTCTGTTTTCCTCGACCTCTAAACCACCTGATCGAGTAATTTAATCTAGTGTGCATTATCAAGTCTTCGCAAAGCCGGAAAATATAACTTATTTAGCAACTTCACTCATCCTACCTATCACAAAATCGTTTGCACTATTTCCCGGGGTTAGCCTGCTTGTTCAAGTCACTCCCTGAGGCTCTCTGAGCTAAAGTTGTTGTAACATCCTGGACAGATACCGCGTTAGTATGTTATGTGTAACTAAATTACTGATTATAGTAGTAGTGGCATACTTGTGCTGCATATTAAATACTATCAATAAATAGGCTAATGGAATCTTGATTGATTGATTACTACCGATAAATGCTCAAAAACCAGAACGAGCCATAACTTTGTACCACGTAGGCAGCTGCTAGATTCCTAGGCATATGGATCTTCTGCCTGGGAAATTTCTTCAATTGCAACATAAAAAAATTACATACGAAAATAAAAGACAAAAATAAAAAAAACGACCCCTCCCCCTCTACGCAGGGGAGAGTGTCGGGGAGGAGGGGATAAAGGAGGGTGGAGTTAGGCTCCAGCAGGTTAATAGGATCTTGATTGACTGATTGAGAGGAGGGTGGAGAGGGGGTGGCGTAAGGGCGTCTTTAGCTACTGCTGCTGCTGATAGGACCAGCAGCGGCGGCGGCAAAACCACCGACAACATATAGCCAAGTCAGACTAACCATCTGCCCCTAGAGGAATATTAGAATCATGTACACTGTCAATAGAGAGTATAGAAACTTACCAGGTGGCATAAGCCACGATAGATATCTGTTATTCTTAATCGACACTGTTGTTCTACATGTCCGTTTCTGTGACAGTAGTTATACTATCTCTCAAACATCAGTATCTATTTAATATTTTTGTTCAATCAATGTAAAAAAGTTATCGCCATGTCAAGTCTTTGTATAGCTCTTCGAAATCAATGAAAAACGAGGACAGCTGTTACTCACGCGCATTTTTGGGGACTGCGGTGGTAGGTTCCACCTGATGCGACCTTCGCAAAACCCATCTATGAAAATCTCATCCGAAGAAAGAAAAAGCAAGTAAAAAGTATGCGTTTGACGCTGGTCTGTTTGTCCCAGCGCTTGATTTCGGTGTTAGAACCTCAGAGGTTCACCTCCGTCTGTGTACAGGTCGGACACGTTATACCGCCGAAAGTATAGTAAGCTTAGTTGCAGCTTAGGTTGGAGAAGGAGGGCAGTTGAAAATCCATGAACAATCCGGGTCATTTTGATATACAACAGATACATTTTGTAATCTTTTGTGTCCCTGGAAGATATTGATAATGGGAAGAGTTGGCTCGCAGGGTCGAGGTATTCATAGACGTGATTTGTACTAGTACGTATAAGGTGAATCGGCTATATCCATTCATATTGACAGTGAGGCTTCGTCGACGTCGTCTTGTAGTTAATAGTTGGGCTAGGTATCTCGGATGGGTGATTTCCGGCCGTTTTATTACCCAAAGGGGTCAAATGTGAAGATCATCTACTATTCATCTCGTACTTCCATTTACTAGACAATTCCTTCCACTACTATTCAATTTACCTAGACACAGACCGATGACGGCTACTGTCAAGATTTCCATAGTTCTATTTTTTTTTAAAAAAATATATATTGTAAATTGATGAAGTTGTCTTGTAAAACAGCTTAGAGATAACTTATGATGTTCAAGAAGTAATTCTAAATGTCGCAAGTGGTCTTTTTTTTGGGATTGGATTGCTAGGTACTACGGAATGGAGGGCACCATTGGCTTTCTTTAGTCGCTTGTCTGGACATGAATCTCTAGTGATGCTAGAGTGCACTTAGGTATCTGTTAGCATGGTGAACCCGAGTAATTATATGGCCTCAATGGGACTGACACCGTGATATTATCCCCCCTTTTAGGACCGAGCTCTGTTAAATCTACTATTATCTGTATACTCAACGGACACCCAACGGACACCTATTTAACTAAACTCTTGTTTAACTAATTTAGTCTTCTTTGACCTACTGGACTCTTCCGCTCTAGCTTCAGTCGCAGAAGGACGTTTCCGGCTGTGGTGCAACCGGTTTCTAAAAGCTCGGGGTTTTCACCGGCTTGAACATCATAAACTATTCCTAAGCTGCTCTACAAAATACCTCATCAGTGTTATTATGTATATACTGTTTCCCCCCCCCCTAAAAGAGCCGATGATTAATTGTTTAAAAATTTTATTTGGTTTTTATAGACCGATTCTAGCTAAGGCTTGACTCAGTGACGATGTGTGACGATCATGACGGGGTGCTTGTTTTGTTGAAGCCATTCCTTTGAGATGGCTTCCTCGTGGGATGTTTGGCTGGTTTGGCTGATAGATAGCACCAAATCTCATCCATTTGAAAGGTTGTCACACTGTGGAGCTTCCAGCATTCGCTATATAATGTTGCTATTAGGGGTGCTCCTTAGGGTAGCGTCTTCGTGTAGTATTGGTAGCAAGTTGGCATAGCTGAGTTTATATTTATATTGTTTCAATTTACAATTAAAGAAGTTTCCCGGACAAAGGACCCATATATCTAGTACCCTAGAGTAGCTTCCTACGTAGGGGCTGCCAGCTCAAACGACTGGCAAGACGTGCTATGCGAAGCACTCATATGACCGTAGAATAATGTAGCCCCCTTTGAACATTCGATGGGTGTACCTAATGACTGCCCGTTTTTCAATAATCAATAAGCGTGTCGTATATGTGATTTTGTTGACGAATCAGAATCTAGATCACTTTCGCGTAGTCCCATAGAATTAGGTAGCTTGCTCCGCTGCGCAATGACCACCAACACTAGAAGAACTAGATAAAATCAGATTTTAGCAAAGCCACGATGTTGAACTACAATATAGATCCACCTTGAAGTCTAAAACAGTTTAACCCATGGAACAAAACGTCAACAAGGCTGCGCGCCTTATATATCATATTCTATTATTTTTGAAGCTTATGACATATAGAGCGGGTGTAGTGTAGTGGTTTATCACGTGCGCTTCCCAAGCGTAAGGTCCGGGGTTCGAACCCCCGTTCCCGCATTCAATCTTTTTTATCCGCGCTGCAGAGTAGGCTATTTTATGATCTCGGTTCTGATTTGTCGCCGGTACAGTGCTGGCCTGCGAGGCGCTGTTCAATATCTGATTAGAACTGCCTGCTTTTTAAATCATTATAACGCAGCGAAGCACGTATTAGACTATTTCTACGCCGATAGCTTATGAAATTTCTGGATAGACAGCCCAAGTAGCCTAGTCAGCAGCAAGTTACTTGAAGAATATCCTTCTTTCCTCTTCCTTTTTCTAAGGGGATGTACATTCAGCGATCACCCTGTTGTATGATCCTCTCAAACTCAAACGACTTCGGGCGTCTCTATTCAACTCACAAGGAACTTTATAGGCCTTATCGTACGAACACTTCATTCATGAGAGACATCTACTGGTACTAGGTACGAGACAGGGATGCTGCTAGATGGTAGAGCCCCAGCATCAATATCATATAGGTTTTACATTGGTCAAGGCGATTGGTGCTTAGATGAGCCGATCAAACGAAAACTCATGTTTTCAGTTTATCCCTGCCAGATGTAAGGCTCCGCTATGTAACTACCATGGCGATATGGGGTTACTAATTCTCCCCTCCAAGCACTTGGCACTGCCAAGCGGCTTGATGGGAGGGCATCGCTCATCCCTACGGTTTCTCTACGTAGTATTATGGCCTACTGCGATGTACTATGGAGGATATCTAAATATCACGAAGACAAATCCGCCAGTAGGACTTACCCCCTATAGGCCCAGTGCATCCTCCAATTGCTTCGCTTCTACCACAGCCACCACCGACTTGTCGATACCATGGGCACGTTTCATGTAGTCGAAGAACTTGCGCTTCAAGGCCGTAGAGGCAAGCCCTCTACGGGATTGCCGATAAGTGAGCTCGCCGGGGCGGGGTTCGCTGTTGGAACGGTCGCCGAAATCGGTCCGATGGGGATCTCGGCCTTTCGTATCGCCACAGGGCCTGCAGACAAATGATGATGTTGATTTACATCCTGGGTACCAAGCCTTGCTGTATTTAGTGCGGCAAAGCTCGCACCTTATGTCGAGGTTTTCGAGGTGGTGGGAGGCCATGCGAAGGTACCCTGTACTCATGTTTAGCTGACACTTATTGCATAGCCATTCGCGTAGGGAACAAGACCAGCGCTTCACTATTTTCTCATCCCATTGCTCGCGGCAGTTCCAGCATTTTGGCCGTACCCGCTTTTGTCGCCATTGTTGATCGTCATGGTGACAGGATCCACACATTGACGACTTTGTGTGCCAGTCTTCAGGATCTAGTTCCCCGCAGCTGACGCATCGTCGAGACTGGGTAGACTGATTTTGAGTTTTTGGTAAGCTCCGCTTATACCTGTTGTAACAGGCATGGCACCTGTGCAGCCCTGGTATTGGCCGATCAGCCGCTCGATGCCATATGACGCCTGCGCCAGTTCGACCACAATCTGTGCAGCGACGTTGGTCTTTTTGGGCCTTGAGAATAGTCTCTAGTGACCTCTCGGCACCGTGATTCATGGTCTGGTATGTGAAACAAGCACTACATAGAATCAGATTTCTGTTTCTGCGGTCCCGGTACCATTTCCTTGCTGTTTCTGTAGAACCACAGTTTGGGTTGCTGCATGGCCCAGAGGTTGGTTCATGAAGCCTATTATAAATGGAAGCAGGCCTGTCCGTACCGTGTGTTCTTTTCCATTGATAACACGCGTTGCAGAGGCAGGTGGCTACCAATGTCGATGTGTTAAAGTTCAAGAACCAGCAAGAGGATTGGTCGCAGGAGCAGTTAACACATACACGCGGTATGTTGGAACGACCCGACTGCTTTGTTGGTAAAGCGCGGTTCAGGGGATAAAAGACCGTAGGTCTGAGGCCACATTCGGACCTCAAGTGGTCAAGTCGGTCTTGGGATACCGAGAACTGGGGTAGCGATCCCGGTTGGAACGTGTCGAGCACGATCATGATAGCCGTCCCAAGAAGGCGGATTAGCCATTCACTATCGGCACGTTCAATCCCAAGCTCTGGCAAATTTTGAGGGAAGGCAGCAACCACGCGAAAGTGGGACTTCCTACCTCTCTTCTCCCGGATGTACTTATAGTGTACACTGGGATTTGTTCTGGGCCCAATTCGCTGGATCTCACGTTTGTGATCCAGGATCCGCTTGATGAAATGAGCTTTCGTTGAACCGGTATAGAGCCCACCAGCTTCGTGGGGACTGCTAACATAATCCAGATACACACCCTTCTCTCTACGCCAAGGGCAAGCCTTTGGGAGGGCAAGAATATGTCGGCCGGTCAGGCCACCGTGTCCCAGAATCGTGTGGGTAGACTCAGGGATGATCATCTGGTATAGACGAAAAACAACCTCGGGGTCTGTTCCCCGCAGATATTGATACAAACCTTTTGCAACCCAGGATTCATGATCTGAAAGTTCACTAAAAGGTGTGCTTTGAGCATAGTTACACAGGTATTTAATAACCCTGTGCATGCTCTTGTCAAAGCTCTCTCGAAGAGCTTCGCGATCTTCATCTGAAGTGATACCGGCAGCTCGGTACCGATCCTCATCTGTGACAAAACCCTCCTCAAGATAGCCTGCCTCTTCCTGATATTCTTGTTCCAGCAGGTCATCCTGGGTTTCGACATCGTAACCGGCAGCGTCTTCATATTTTAACTCATCGGGGCACTCCTCGTCATCGATAAGGATAACATCGGCGAAGGCCTCCGGGTTGAAGTGGACTTTGCTTTCGGGGATATCGTGGAGAGCAAATGTAGACTCTTCGTCCGTCTTCACAGATATACTGCTATCTGTATACTCAACGGACTCTTTAATTAGTTTAGTCTTCTTCGACTTACTGGACTCTTCCGCTCCAGCTTCAGTCGGAGAAGGATGTTTTTCGGCTGTAGTACAACCGGTTTCTGGAAGCTCGGGTTTTTCACCGGCTTCTTCAGCACGCCTCACGAAACTGAGGATGCTAAGCTGGTTAGATGGCACTTGTTGTGCCTTCTTTCCCCGCCAGGTTTTACCTCCAGCTGCGGGAACCTTAGGGATTTGACAGAGTGAAGATCGCTCCTCGACTCCGGAAGACATTAACTTCTGATAACCCTTACGAGGCGAGGGTTTTTTCTCAGCCTCGGCGGACATAGTCCGGCATTGTTCATCAAGGCCCTCACGAAGCAATGAAGATTTCTCTTCGGCCTCGGCCTTGGCGAAGCTGAGATTGCTCCCTAGCTCCTTTTTGAAGTCCCCTGGCACTCGAACGATCAAGGGCTTCATCCGTTTTCACAGAGACGCCCTGGCCGTGGCGCTCAGGGTAATTGGGGGAAACCCCAGTATGCTTTTGGGAAGGCATTACTTCAAACACACAAACAAACAGAAATAGAAAAAAAAAAGCTCTTCTCGTCGTCGTCGCCGTCGCCGCCGTTATTTCTGTCTGGTCTGTTTTCTCTAAGTCCTACTATACATGGATTTTGAACTACTTTTACACCTGCTAATCGGAATTGGGAAGTCACCTGCTGTATACAGTATACAGATAATAACCAACTACTAGTGTCTGTACGTCAAGGTTACAATACATACGCTGTAATGATAGAATTCCAATTCCAATCACAGATATCCATCATGGATGATGGATTCCGCAGAAATAGTTTACTTAGCTAAAAGAACTATGTAGACGTTCGTGTTGATCCAATTGTTATGATCAGAGTCCACATATATCATGCATACTAGTATCTGCACCTCAGATGTATTCTGGGTTAATATGAGTTAAATTGAGTGTTGTATGTTTAGTGTATTGCCCTCGCAAACGACTTTTTTTGGTATAGATGGCTAGGGTTGTGTAGTATAGTATAGTTGTAGTACCAGGCAAGGTGCGAACCGTGGCGTGATTGGCCGTCATGCACAGGGTTTATCAGAAACATGATATAGCAATGGTCCAATCAAAAAAAGGCCTCAAGGACGTCTGGAATCACGGCATCAAGATCATAAGCTATTGTCAAGCTGTTCTACAAGAAAGCCTCATCAATATACATATTAAAAAATATCTAAAAATATCTCCTTTCTCCTGAAATTTAGTAGAACGAAAAAGAACCATTATTGGTTGAGTGGTGGTGTTCTGAACTTATCACTGCGTTGAGCCGCTCGAACTATAGAAATCTTGGCAGTAGCCGTCAACGGTCCAGGTAGCTAGAAATGATGGTATGAGACAGAAATAGATGGAATCATCTATTAAATGGCTCAAGAGGAGGTGAGAGGTAAATAGTAGATAGTCTTTATTACATTTGATTCTCCAGGCAATAAACAGGTGGAAATCGCATGGTAGTAAAGGCAGCCCAACTTCTACAAGACGACGTCAACGAACTATGAATATAGCCAATTCACTTTAAGGATACATATTAGTACCGGTATCGATTGCACTTAGCAGGGTGGCTATTAGAGAGCCCAGATCGTTGACAGGCTACTATAGTAGTCGTCAGGCACCAGACAGGACCCTGCGTCTGCCAGAGACAGGTGACAGAAGCTTCCAGCAGGGCCTCCTTTCTGCTTTCAGTCAATCCATACAAGATACAGGTGTCTTACATGTATCTATGGATATGTCACTGCCAGTCAATTCCCCCCATAAGCAATAACTTTAAAGACACTGCAAATAAAAAGAATACATTGGTGTTGTATATCAAAATGACCGGTATTTTCGTAGCTTTTCAACAGCTCTCATTCTAACCAAAAAGGGCCCCACGATTGGCAAGTATAGATGGCATTTTGAAGCAGAATCTGTAAATGAAAGTGACAAAACCGGATTTTGTAGCAAAGTGTGAGGAGGCCTATCACGGGGTCCTGAGGATCTCCCTATACTTAAATCCCTCTCTTCTCCCTCTTTTTTCTTTCTTTTCTTTTCTTTCCTTTTCTTTTTTTGTGTTTACAAGAAACTCCCCACTCAACCCAGACGCAAAGACAACCATAATGAAGGTGAGTGACAGCTCTCCTTATTTTTCATTGATTTCAAAGAGCTA